TATTGTAATGAGTGTAAGAGACGAGTGATGAATCTGATCCCAAGGTTTGGTTTTTACTAATTTCCAATGCTTAATGCTTTATGTCAACAATTTTTTATTAATTAACTCCTGAAAAACAATTATGATTCAGGTATCGAATCAAGACAAGAGTTGTTGACACCACGGACAGTGCTACTTTCGTAGTACTTGAAAGCGTTGCATGCTTGCTGCTCCATAAATCATGTTCGGAGATGTTGAAATATTCTGAGGTATGGATAAATATGTGATTATAACAGCTCATCTTACACCTGTTTTAAAACCAGATTTCAATTCTTTGACACATGTTGAGGTATTCATCGTCGTGATTTATTGAACTATTTTAAACCCCGTAGTTCTTTAAAGGAAACGATGGACAGAATAGAAACCTGCACTATCTCATAATTGGTCTCGAATATATGGACAGAACAATGACATCTGACTTTATGTTTCTTGATTAGTCATAGGCTGAATTTTTCTTAAACAAATACTATAAATTGAACAAGTTATGAGCCCTCTGATTTTATGTATAGACGGCATGATGATGACTAATATATGTTATGAAAAGGTGATTTTTTTATCAAAGACCACACTCACGTTACACGGTTTGACCTCATCTGCTCTTGGTTTTTTTGGAACTGTCAAACCTTTCCTGCTCTTGGTTTAGCAGAGGCATTTGTGGCCTATCTAAAGTGAACTCTTCTGTGATTTTTTCCATGTCCTACATCTTCTTTAAGCATTTTTTAAGCATACACTATATTCAATACCAAGACCGCATTGTCTTAAATCTTCTACTCTTGATTTTTTTGTAATTGTCTGAACTCTAATGCCATGTAATTTGAAATCTAACATGAGAGGGCTCTACAATTAAACATTTTATAACTCAGTATTACCGATTATAAATAAAACTCAGTATTACCAGAAATATTGGTATCACTATGAGCTGGAGAGGAACTCGAATCTAGAGTTGGCATGGTCTGGTCATTTGCCTTTCTGACCCCAAAATCATTGAGCAGCTCAAGAGGTTGTGTTGTGTATGAAGCATCACTGGGTTCAATTTATATATTCATATAATTCATAATTGTTTTAAACATGACCAAACACAATGAGAGTACATGAAGTCACCAGCAAGAAAATATATTTTCACACCTTATGCTTTGCAACAAAGTATCCCAGTCACTGAGACCAATACAAAGTATCCCAGTCACTGCCCTTAAATTTGCACTTTCCCTACAATATGTTATAAATACAAAATGAAAACATTGAGACATATAACATTGGTTCTTGTTGCTTGCTTTACTTCACTACGTCAAAAACAGATGCTGACAACTGTATCTTTTAGTAGTCTCACGGTGCTGATTTCAGTAGTCTTCCGAGCAGCTGTCTGATATATTTACAGACTATTGTTTAAAAACAGTTGTGTAAAATGGTTGACGACACCTGTTTTGTAATGTTTTAGAGTACGACTTTTTAGTGTTGTCTTTGTATGAGTATGACATCTGTTTTTTAGAGTTAAAGAGAACTGTGATTTTTTGTTGTCTATCTATAATGAATACTACTGTTGCTTTTAACTTTAGACTTCTAATTCTTGGTGTTTTAGTTCAACAATATAGACATCTACTTTAAAAAGTAATTAAAAGATATATCAGACTGATGCTCGGAAGACTACTAAACAAAAATGTAATCAGACAACTGTTATCTTTTGTTGTATTTCTAGAATATGGACTACTAACATTATTCTTATTCAAACTACTGTTTGTTTTAGTTGTATATTGATTATTAACACAACGGTATTTTGTGGTTTTTCTTGAAGTATTCAAACTATCTTTTATGGCAGTAGTTGAATTTTCTATGAGGCAGCTACTCTAAAGACTACTAAAGAAATTTGCTTCAGACAACCATTATTTCGCATTGTATTTTAAAAATATGAACTACTGTTTTTGTAGTATTTCAAACAACTGTTTGTTTTGATCATCTAAATGTTATTAATACTACAGGTTTGTGTAGTTGTACATATACTCTTCAAACTATTAGTTTGAATGATAGTTGAATTTTTTTATTAGACAGCTGTTATCTTGTGTTGATTACCAAATAAATATAAATTCAAAAAATACAATATATTGAACAATATATAAATTCATACATTTAAAATACTATTAACATCTAATAATTTAATATTTACATCATCTTCCTTACAATTTGCATATTCTAC